AGAGAAAAAGAGAGAGAGAGAGAGAGAGAGAGAGAGAGAGAGAGAGAGAGAGAGACAGAAAAAGATATAGAAACAGTGGCTGCGGTCCGTTTCATGCTTAAGCGCACATTTATCTATAGTATACGTGACATATACTACAGATAAATGCGCGATTAAGCATGAAACGGACCGCAGCCAGTGTGTAGCGATCAGCTGATCGCGTCAGGCACCACACATAATCGCCCGCATCTGACGGTGAGTTGCGCCGCCCCTGCCTACTTCTTGTATCCGACTTGTGATAAGTCAACTATTTTTATTAACAACTCAAAAAGTAAGCTTCAGACAAAAGTTTGCCAGGTAAAAAGTTGTCTTAGAATTTAGTCATGAATATGTATTTTCAAGGATAACGGGGTGTTCTGAATCATCCTGTATATTTTTGTAGATAAATATACTTAAAAAAACAAGTATTATAAGTTCTTTTACAAACAAAATATTTTTGACGTACATCTACTTTGGTAGTAGTTTTTTTTTAGATGACAGTTTTTTATATGAGAGAGAGTGACATTATTCTACCTGAATATCTTTATGTTTGGCTAACATTATTAAGGCAAAATATATTGCCGACGTCGAAGTATCATATCCCTGTAAACATAATTTAGTATATAGTACATATTGAAATAATATGTGTCTAGAAATTTGAAAGAAAAAAAACATCAGAAATAGTTACCGTAGCTATAAATGTAGTGACTTCTTCCATGATGTCTGAATCAGTTAAATTATTTTTCTGTGACATGGTTATCAATAGATCCAACAAAGCGAGTCGTTTATTTTTACCTAAAAAATTTAATATCATATAGTAAGGTTTTTTGTTACATATTACTTTGGTAAAATCTTGTTTTTTTAATCCTGAACTTTATTTTTCAACAAGCTTATTTTATTTTTATAAAAAACTTGTTGTTATAAAATAATATACTGTAATTTACTTCAAGTTGTAAAGGAATAACTTGTTCTATCTATATTACAACTATACAATCGCGTTTTTGATCCATCTTTTTATACTTGTACTTACTTTCACTGTCTTCTGTGCCATTTACTTGTGTAAACGTATCACTTTCGATATTTTTTAAATATTGACCGTTAGTGCGTTTGTGATACAATTTTCTTTCCGTAATAATCTACAATCACGTATATAATATCTCTCTTAGTAAAACATTTATTTCTTTTCTTATTTTGTGTAATATATTATTATGAATTATCACATGATCGCATTTATAAATTATTTATACATACTTTTTGTGAAAAGCTTTTACACCTGGTCAGAAGTTTCTTCTGTCTTTTACCTATTGGTAACAGTGCAGTTATCCATTCATTATGCAACCAGATCCTTTGAAATCTAAACCAAAATTTTTAGAAGTAGAACTTAATATAGTAGAAAAGATACTTGGTAGAGGCTATAAGATTATATGTTACCTGTAGGTGATGATTTCACACATCTGATAAACATCATGACAAAAATTTTGGGCCGCGGTAAAATTTCTTAAAGAGATGCCCATAGCTGTTTCTATATTGACAATGCGTAAGTAAACAAATATTAAAATATTTTTATCATAATTTAAAAAATCAATAACAAGTTTTCTATATTTTTTAATTGTCTTTAAAACAAGGACAATGAGTACAGCAATAGAACATAAAATAAAAATTACCGCATATTATGTTTAGCATGTGGTTGCTTATAAATGGTAGTATCTCCTTCACAACTGGTCCTCTAGCATCTTTTAAGGTCGTAATCATGTGATTATTTTCTTTAATGAAAATGTCAACAAACCGCTTTAATATATGAAAATGAAATGTTGGTGTTATTATCTTTCGTCGTGTATGCCATTTGCTACCTGAAACATAGAGAAAATAATTGTCCGGATATTTTTATTAGTCGTTTGTTTAACTACTACTGTTAAAAGAGTGATACCAAGTGCAAGGACAGTACGAGCGGCGAGTGATGAGAAAGGGAAAAAGCAATATTAGGAATAGGAGTAAGAACAGTGATAATTAGCAGTATTACGAGAAATTAATTACTACTATATTACGATATTACGAGACTAAGGTGTCATATGTTATAGTATTATAATATAATATAATATATCATATTATCTGTTCATAAGCTTTATAGGTGGTAAAATGTTAAAATGTTTAAAGTGTTAATAGGCTAAAATGAAAATGAAAATGAAAATAAAAATGAAAGTTATGTCGGGTAAAGATTAAGATGTAAAGAGGTAAAAATGTAAATAGATAAAATGTAAGAAATGTAAGAAATGTAAAGTGTAAAGCAACCGGAAGCCATCCAAAGCCGAAAGGCAAGGATTAAGGTTAATAAATAAAAATAATAATAAACTACTACTGTTAAATGATAGCACATCACAATGTTTGGTAAAGTTTAACACAAGGTCTTAGATGTTTTTCAAGTGAAAGCTGGTCTACTTTTTTTATTTTTCTTTTCTTCTTGATGTTAGAAATGAAATAGAAATAAAAATGAAATTTTATCGTTTAATTAGTGCTGTCAAAAATTACTGTTCTTCATAAAAAGAAACATTTTTTTTGTCTATTTAAAAATTTATATCTTTTGGAAAGTCGAGTTGTTCTATTCAAAACTTTGTTTTTTCAAGAACTTTTATTTTCTAGAAAAATTATAATTGATAGTTCTAAGACAGAAAATGAAGTATTTCATATCACATGACACACTTAATGTTATTATTTTACCTCCGCTGGTCACAAGACTCCAAATCCACATCGCAGTACTTTGTACAGATCACTTTTCTCGATACACTGTATGTTGTTTAATATAATCTAGACAAAAAAAGATCTTCAATTACCGTTTTTATTATATAATATCTCATTTATATAGAGAGTACTTTTTAAAATCAATTTTATCAATTAGTTTTTATACGTATTTTTAAACATATATATAAATATTATACAAGTTTGTAAAATAGTACATGACTAATCTGTTTTTGCACTTTAGCTTTATCAAAAAGTTTCAGCCTTTATATAATTTCTTGACAATATTACGGATATTAAAAGTCAAGAACAATTTATTTTATTTTATTACTTTCATATCATCTGGATGACGAATCAATACGAATGGCATATGACAGAACCAAACTCTTACAATTGGATAGTATTGATCTTGTACTTCACATATTGTGTGTAATAGTTTTTCTGAAAAATATAAATAATTCTAAGTCACTTACAAAATGTAACAGATATATAATAATTTTAAACTATGGCAAATGAAGTTTATTTTAAAGAAAAAATTGAAGAATTCCTAATAATTTATCGAGATAACGTCTACATAAAGTGCAATATATAACTTGGCCATATATACAGATTAAAAAGAAAATAAAAAATTGCAAATATTTATTCGTTTTTATAAATACAAAAAAAGCTAAAGGTCAGTTTTACTAAATTGTAAGATCAAATTGATTTAATTTTGTCTGGAAGGATGAAACCGTTATTTGTAGGAACGGCGGAACGGGAACAAATAGCAAATGTATGATTTCAATGAATGCAAGAAATAAACGATAAGTAATATATATAACACTATTTACTAAACCGCACTTACATTAACTATTGAGAAATATACAAAGAAATATCACCGTGATAAACGATCGATCAAACTAATTGCTTGAGTTGAGCGCACACCGGTCAGAAGGAGCAAATCGGAAAAACTCTATTCTACACAAGGTACGGCACTCTTTTGCCACATGGCTATAATCGGCGTAACCGGCTGGTCGCTTCAGCGCCGCCTGTTCGACTCTTTAAGAGTTATTATCGATCATTACAATCGATATTCTTACAATGTTTAGGTAAAAGAGGTCGCTATTAAATTAACAATTATAATAAATTTTCCTACAAAATCAAATTCTTTTTCTTACCAATTGGAACAGTGAAGAGAAGTAAATTTCCTAACACTGGTAGAGCTGGTGGTCCCGGAATAAGATTTAGAAGTCGTCCTCTCTTTCCATAATGTAAATTATATTGATGTATCATAAAAAGTATAATAAGAAGTATAATAACCAGTACCAGTGTAATAATAATCATTGTTTGATGACGTTAACTCTGTTTTCTCTTGTGATTTACGTTCTTTTAGATCTTCTTATATAATATAATACCACAATTATATTTTATGTTTTTTATACTAAAACTAATTGTCGTCCTTCTCCTAAACACACAACCTAAAAAATATGAAAAATAGATTTTTATAGAAAAAGTAATAATTTTAAATTAAAATTTATACATATATATAATATATGTAACAGCAATTTCTTCTCTTTCAAAGCTACAACACTAAGAATTTACGTAAGATCCCAGCAAACACAAAGTAACACTTACGTAACATTACCCAGATAACCAAATTTGTCGAAACAGATTTTGCCAAATGCATGTTACAAATTTTGTTAGCAGAAAGACATCAAATATGATGCAGAGTTTGTTTTATCTGGCAATGTTGCAAAATTGTTAGCAAAAATATATCCAAGCTTGTTAACAAAACATAACA